TCTGCTGTCTCCATGTATTGCAATGTCCACTATCCAGACTTTTTTGTCTTTCTTATCAACAATTATTATTATTGTTGTTATTGTTGCTGCTGCTGCTATCAGCTGCAAGGACAATGCTGAGATGTTGGTGTTCCTCTTGCCAGACAGTAATCTGAAATAAATGTTAAGCCTTCTTTTTGAAATACTTTTGAAGCAAAAAAGATTGAAAGTGGGCAAAACTTCTCCCCAGCGAGAGCACCAAACATAGCATCATTTACATAGTCCTACCTATAAACAAATCACCTTTGAGAGGAGTATGGAGAGAAAGTCTTCTAGTCTTTTGAGCTTATACTGTATGTTCCTTATGCTCTGCAGTAACATCTTTTAATAATTTGGACTAATCCAATCTATGCTTATTATTTTCACATAGACAAACATGGGTTACTATATTTTATTTAATATTTCTATTTTGGAAAAAAAAATCTTAAAAGATATATAAGAAACCTACCTTTCGTTTTACAAACTTGTCCCAATAATTATTAGGAAAAGATCTGTATAGACACAAAATAAGTATTCACATTCAATTAGACCAAACAAAATATACCCCCCCCACACACACACACACAAAACCACAAAAAAACAACCCAACCCTCACCAAAAGTGCTTTATTTGCCTTGGTGTTTTATTATTTTAGTTTATATTATATAGATATTATGTTCACCCAAACTTTTAGAGTAAAGTTTCCTTCATAGTGTATCAGACAGGGCAAAAAAGCCCAAGAGAATGATGGCATCATAGGAACAATTTATTTTCTGTGCTTCCTCTATTTCCTCTATTTCTTTTTACCATTTCCCCTCTCTGTGGCCACAAACACTTCCTCCCTCCCTCTCTCTCTCTCTCTCTCAAAATAATTCTCAATGTATCCAAAGAAGTAGATGCTAGTCTATAAAAGTATATATGGCTAAAAATAGTTATTCTTTAAATTGATACTTGATTGTATATGTTTTTTTGTCTCTGAAGAAATAGAATTCACATTAAATTTAGATTTTTTTTTCTTCAGTGGTTTTCTCATTATTCATCAACTTTTATCGAGACAGTGATACTGGCTTTATTTTTAAAAAATTATCCTATAGATGATAAGCATTTTTAGTATTAATAGTAAAATATTAATTAGTAATATCTACAGTCATTGATAAAAAATTAAGTACTTTTTGTCTCAAACATAATATTTAATCCTTTGACATATTACTTTCATTGCATTCATTTAAATTTAATTTCATTCACAAGTTTGTGTTCATACAGAGAAAGGGTGTTTTTGCAGTGAAGACTGCATATAGTGTAAACCACTATTTGTGTACATTTCATTCTGAATAAGACTTTCCTAAAACACAATGCTAAGAGAATATTAAATGATCCTAAAATTTAAGATAAATATACAGTATGTGACTGTGTGAATGGCAAATGCTGCTTCCAGCACTGTTTATAGGAGTAGTGAAATTCATCTGCATTTAAGGAAGCAGCAGAAAAAGAGACGAAAACAAAGGACTGCTGACTAGTAATGCTAATTCTATTTTCTTATGCTGGCAAACTTTTGTAACAGGGGCTCTGTGAGACTAGGCTGAAGCTGCCATAACCTAAAGATGAAGCAGGTACGTAAACAGAGAGGACAAAAGCCAGGAAACTTGTCTATGAGATCCCTTCGGGGAGGTAGATAAGAAGGAAGCAAGTTGTTAAGGAAACAAAGGACCTGAACCAGATAAAAGAAGTTGGGCCTAAGCACATGGAAACCCTCACCCCAATCCCATCAACTTGTAAATAAACAGAGCAAGGACTTCTGGGGATAAAAGGGGCCCCAAAGCCTGCCCACTCTGAGTCATCTGAGTCTTCTGAGTCATCTGAGTCATCTTTGGATCCAGACTTGGCGGCTTCCCTCCCTCTAGCTAGTGCCTGGCAGCCTAGTTGGGAAGGATGTGGGTAAGTGTGGATGAGCGCGCGCGTGTGTGTGAGAAAGAGCAAATATATCTTGCAACCACTAAAGTTTTGCTATTACTTTAAATTCACTGGGTCTCCATGTATTACAAAGAACCTCTTGTGCCACAGAGTTCAGTTGGAAGTGATTTGTGTGTATCCCTAATTATTTCTTGGCTGTTGACCAGGGCTGTGTCTCTTGTCTGCTCTAGCTGCACCTATCTGGAAAACCCAGGTAGAAAGCAAGGGCGGCTGACATCCTGACATCCGCGTGCCTCAACAGGCTGTGAGTGTGTGAGTGAGTGACCATAAGCCGAACCTGGGAGCAATGTATGTAATAGCTCCTGAGGTTGGATCTTCTCTGAGACTTCTCTAAACTTGGAGGAGAAATACTAATCTAGTCTAATTCCCAAGGTCAAGTTTGCATTCCTTCATAAGCTATAAATAATATACAACAGGCTTTACTATTCAATATACAACAAGTAGTTAAATGAAAATTAGACCAAGAAACTCCTACTCATCTCTTAAAAAGCTCTACAAAACCAAGAAGAGTGTCAGACTTCTCTCTGAAAATGCTAGAAGCTCGAAGGCAGCAATTAAAGGATACAACTGTCTGAACTAAAGAAAAACTAACCAACTAAAGAGGCCATTAAAAAGAAATCCTGCAGTGCTCAAGTATAAAATGGCCCAGCCCCTTGAGCCATGCAGGCAGGAGAAAAAGGAAGAAGAATTGAATCTTGTTTCTATTATAAATAGGGCTTTCCATTTTACACTTTGGGGCAGGAGACAGGCCTCCATCTATGCATTGAAACTAACAGACCAGTGTGGTCTCAGCTGTTTGCTTCAGATCTTGCCAGACCCAGCCCTCACAAAGAGTGGGTGAGCTGCCTGCTTAAGAAGAGTTTTGACTGGAATCTCATGAACATTTCTCTGGCTCTTCCATCTCATCCTAGTGACTCTGGGTTCCTTCTCTAGTCAGCCAGCCAAGTGAGGAGCATCATATTTTCCAGGTGGACAAAAATAAAAGCATGTATTTCACATTCTTGCTTCCTGACTATTATGGATAACAATAATAACAATTACTACCAAAACACAATATAGAAGAGATATCACTGTTGCATCTAATGAGCATATAAAGTTATCTTGTAAGATATCAGACAAGTGGTATCCTGTGCTCTCTGGGAAGCAGAATTCTGTCAAGCAACTTGGCACACCCCATGTTGCTACACAAAAATTTTATACAAAATATATAGAAAGATGGCCAGTGGTTATATCAACAACAAGTGTAATTTGTACCATATCATATATAAAATATCATAATTTTACTTTGGGTACACTGTCAAAGCAAGCCTTAGTTAAATCCTATTGGAATTCTTCAGTATGCAATGTGTCACTTACGGCGTGTTTATGACTAAACGATCCCACTGTCCTTTAATATCATCTTCAGATGGTTGTTCAGTGATGTATAGACCATCAAATTCTAGCTTCCTAGCAATGTCTTTTTCACGTTTGAATACAACCAGGGGAACCTTTTGGGAAAGATATTTTAATGTAGTAAAGTACAAAATGAAGTATTTTAATGATCTAAATTCTTGAAATAAAGGCAAATATTTTAAAATGTCTTGGAGATAACTCTGAACTTTTACAGAATTACTGAGATTCACTTAAAATAACCTGATTTTAAAAACATTATGGATAAAGTGAGTATTATAGGTTAATGGATAACAAATAGGATAATTTATTCACAAAGCAGTGTTACAATTGTAACTGACCATATATAGAACCGTCTGATAATCAATATTATATAAGTATGATATGCTATTTGATTTGGAAATTGAATTGGATCCAGGATTAGTGAAATGTATCTATTCATTAATAGGCCTTAAATTTATAATGAGTATATTTGGATCTGTTTGTAACATAATAAAACAATAGCAGAAGGACCTTTTATTTAGCATTAAATGTATAATTAAATAAAAGTACATAAGGTATATAAAAGATGAAATGTGAGTTGAGACTTGCATGCTTTATTTCAGTGCTATAGAGTCTTTAATGTGAACTGGAATCTACACATATAAAGATCTATGTATGTTAATAAGATGCCATCAAGTCAGGCCTCTGCCTTCTGATTACATAAAGAAATGCTTGTAATTGTTCCCAGAACTCTGCAGCTCTTCTAAGAACATTCCAGTAATTTACTTGGCCCCATCCATCCACCTCTTCTATTGTCTTTGTTTACTTTCACTTCCCAAGCACAGTATTTTTAGAAATGCATCATTTGTTTGAATCACATACTCAGATATATGAGTTTTTGTTTGCTAATAATCACTTAAAGGAAGCAATCCATTTTTATTTGCTCCAGCCTTTAGATTTATCAGTGCTATTTGCAGTCCATGGTACTTTTAGTAACCATCTCCAAATCCATAATTTGAGGGCCTTTTTTCTCTCTCAATCTTTCTCAATGTTCACATTGTCATAGCCTGTCAATGTGATATTATTATTGTTGTTGTTGTTGTTGTTATATTGATTTGGTTAGATTGTCTTCAGATTCCATTGTTGTATTATTTTGTAATTTTTTGATGTTTTCTTTTGTTCTTTTGTTCATTGCCCAGAGCTGCCACTCATGAGATGACTGGCTACATAAATCAGTATTGATTGATTATGTGTCATCAAGCTGGTGTCAACTTTTAGTGACCACATAGATTTTGTCCAGGAATAAATCAATATAATAAGTAAATAGCTGTATATTACCGGGGAGAGTCTATCACTTCCACTATTCCGATACATGTCTTGTTCTCTCCATTATCCTTCTTATGTTAGTTGCTTGATCTCATGCCCTACTGCCTTTTCTACATGTTCATTTGGCATTTTTCTCTCCATGTATGGCACTATCTTAAGCAAAATGTTGCTTGTATGATAAATTAGTGCTTTGTTTAGCAATTTGCACATTCTCTTCAATCTCTCTTCTTCAGTATACTTTTTTTTTTTTTAAGTATTAGCTGTACCTGGGCAGGAAGAAATATAAAGAACTTGCTTTTCCAGATGACTCTTGCTTTAGTAACAAGGTATAACTTAAGTCTAATTTGACTGGCACTGTTCCTTGTCTTGACTCCTGGTTTGTTTTCCAATCCTATCTTCTAATGTATGTTTGGGTCCTGATAGCTGTTTGAATTTAGTTCTTGCTACCTAAGTTTCAGCTGTTGCCCATGACTGTCCCATACACCACCATTATTTAAATAACAGAATCTACCTATGCTTCAATATATCTTGTATTTGTGATTTTGCTGATTTGGTCTCTGGTCCTGTCCCCTAATTTTCTTTCTGATCCTCATTGTTCTTCAGTCCTGGATCTCACTTCATAGCTTCTGAGTTTGGGGTCTCTGGGATGCTTTTAAGGATGGGATGGGAGAAGTTTGCCTCTCAGAAGTTTTCCATTCCCATTCTTATTCTCACAGTTCCAAAAAGAAAAGGGTTAGCAAAAAAATAAAATAAAAATCAGCCCTTCTCATTGTACCACATCAGTATATGGCCTCCTGCAACCATCTGGAAGGCTAGGAAACATAGTTATGCCAAACTTTCTAATACTGTCCAGCCCATCAATAAATAGTAGCCAAATGACACTATATGAAATGAGGAGTGTGTCTTTATATAATAATAATATGACAAGAAAGTGACTTGTATTAAATAAATAAAGATAAAGGAAATGACTAACCTTTAAACAATAGTATCCAATTACACAGAGGAAAGAAATGATAGTATGAATAACAGCTAGTGCCCTGAGTGTTGGTGCCATATAGCCCGTGCTCTCTTGTAAGACAAAGAATACTATTCCTTCTTCATCCTCATCTTCATCTAAAGATTGCCATAGATCAGAGTCTTCTTCCATTTCTTCAAATGGTTCTTCTGTCACCTGTTATTCATGTCAACACACATACACATATACTTCTTATAGATATAAAATAGCAAACTCCCACATAATGCTTCTCAGAGCCATCAAAATATGTAAGATACTGCTTTAAATACAACATAAATTATTCAAATATGTACATGGAAGCCATTGCATAAACTATATTGATTTAGCCTAGCTAGATTTAAAAAAATGATACAACTGAGGTATTAGATGTGGGAGAATCTGAAATGAGTAGATTAGGGTGATAGCAGTTCGAATGGCTTAGTATGAGTCTTCTTATTGCAAAGATACTATATTGTTGTATTGATTGGTGGGTGAAAATTTAAAATATTACTACTGTCTTAAGGAAAACAACAAGGTGACAATAGAATTGTCCTGTTTTACCACACTGTAAGTACTGTAACAAAAATAGTATGTATGAAGCATTTTGAATACTCTAAATTGCAAAACGCTATTATTGAAGCATAAAGTACCAGAATGGAAAACAATAGTAACTGAGAAATCAATATGTAACCAAGATTTTTCACCCTTTGAAGATTTAATTGAATTAGTAACTTATTTGGTTGGATATAGCAGTAGACTCTACTTTCCATGCTTTTTGAAGGACACTTCAGAACAGCTTATAAATTGGTGTTGGATAGAAGAGAGAAATCGAGAAAAATATTACCAGTTGCTCTTCAGCTTCTCCTGAAGCCAAATTGCAGACAGAAGGAATTATTTATGGATGGATGTGTTTCGAATATAACACTATTCAGTGTATTATGCTAGTACTTATTTTCATTAGCTAATTTAGTTATGCTAATACTTATCTAAGATTTTTAATATTGTAAATATCTCTCTGAAAATTAAGATACCATGCATAGAATGGATATATTTACATTACCTTGTAAAAGAGTAGAATAAAATTGATAGCAAAGGCAACAAAAAGTGCGAGAAATCTTAAATTGTAAAAATTTCTAGCCAAATAGTGCTGGAGGAAAAAAAAGAAAAGAATGTAATTAGTTCGTAAAGCAAGGATCAGAACAAAAATGTTATGATAAGGAAATCTATATAATCCTTCAAACTGCAAATCATAACAACTTTGTTTATTTGCTATAATTACTATACTGCTTAAATTAAACCAATTATATTAACATCAATTATGTTTCATATCAAATTTTGCTTTCCATTTTCAATCTCTATTACAAAAGGCCACAGAGTGTCCAGTTGTTATTTTAAGTTTAAAATGCTATCATATAAAAGAGATTCAACATACCAAGACCTTTGTCTGATAGATCTCCAATACTTTAAAAAAATTAGCCATAACTGCATCTGGTTTCTCTAACTTCTGTCCGTGTCGTTTTCTTTTCCTAGGTTCTTCAACATCAAAATATTCAGAATATACATCATCCTTTATTTTATCATGCTTTTCACCATCCTCCATACTATAGGAAATGACATGTTATAAATTAGATTTTTACATTGCCCAGATGTAAACTGTGGGAATTCAGACATTACACAGAGTTAATTAAAAGGTAAACATTAAAGACAGATGAATTTGAAGATGTGCATCTTTCAATATAAATACATGCATTTCTGTAATCCCAAAGCAAGCATTTTATATACAAATGGTAATGAATGCATGTATTCAACATTTTCTTTGTTTAATCCTTTCAACTGGCAAGGCAAACAAAATTTAGAGAACTACAAAAACTGGAGAATAATTACATTTTGATTGCATATTATGTGGGAAATACAAATTAGTAGGATAAGATTGGCCAATATCAGTTTTTAATTGCCAATTTTTTCTGTATTAGGACACTTATCCCATTAAAATTTCCAATCAGATGTTTGTTGTGCATGAAGGTGCCTTCTAATAAGTTCCCATGGTCTACATGTTGCCGTTGCATGTACATTTCTCTGGGCTAATGCTTCATAAACAATAGCTTAACAGATGATAGCATTGAAATATGCAACAGTAACGAACAAATGTATAATCATTTCTCACACTAAAATGGAAACTGATCGTATTTTATTATTTCCTTGCTTCTAAAATTTTGCCTCTTAATACTTGTAATCCTGCCAATGACATTCAAGGGAATTGTATACACATAGACATGAAGAAATAGTAATTACATAACAGTTTAAAAATTATATAGTTTGAGAATAAGTATAAATATATTTATAATCTAAGGAGAGAGGAATAATTTTAAATAGACATAGTCCATTTTTCTATTCAAAAAGACAAATGGTTGTGTTGATATAATTAAAAGAGGAGACTAAATGTGAACAAAACAATAATTAAATGATTCTTTAAGATTCTTTGCCATTGGGTTAAATTTTCAGCCAATACTCTTTACGTCCCCTACTATTAATCAAAAGATTTACTTTGGTTTTCAAGTATTTTGCTAGATAACAAATTTGTATGTTTTGTGTGTTTGATCATTTATATGGCCCAGGAAATATGGATAATACAGCTCCACTATTTTAAACAATCCAAAAGGAATCCTGGTCTTTGATCAGTCCCTGAGTTAGTGAAATTGAAAACAAACAAACAAACAAACAGTGTAAACAGTTGATCTGTCAAAAAAGGAGGAATGCTATCTGGGTATCCTGGCAATGTTTGATAGCAGCTGCCAGTGTGAAAAACCCTGCCGTCTTCTGGAGGTTAGTAGCCCCTATAAATATAAAATAATATTTACAGCCTTTCATTACATATACCAGCCAGTATTTGGGAAGTCCATTTTGCTACCCTATATGCTCAAGCAGAGAATCCCTGGCAGATTTGGAGTTGGATGTGACCTGTCTTCCCCCAGTCACATGTTCAGAAATCAGAAATATAATTAAACAGTTCAAACTAGGGAAAGACCCTGGCTCAGATCTTATTACATATGAAATAATAAAAAAATACTTTGGAATGGTGGACCCCAGTTTTAGCTTCATTTTTCACAGCAGTAGATCGCTTGGGCATGATACCAAAGGACTGGGGCTTGGCTATTATAATACCAATATATAAGAGGGGCAAAAGAAATGATCCAGCTAACTTCCACCCAATTTGTTAAGTCAAATTAGCAAAATGTATGCTAAACATCTACAGGATAAATTAACTGACTGGCTTGAATCTGAAGACATTCTGATGGATGAACAGGCTGGGTTTAGGGCAGGCCAATCAACATTAGACCATGCTGTGGTGCTGCAACACCTAGTAGAAAAATATACCCACAAACCTTATACAGCATTTATTGACTTTAGGTCACCTTTAGACACAGTATCTAGATCTAAACTGTGGCATATATTTAAATACATCATAACAGACAAACGTCTGTGTCTGCTGATCATTAAAATTCATGAGAACACAATATTGAAGGTCAGGTGCAGTAACCAAGGACATGTCACTAAGGAAATACCAGTAAGGAGGGGAGTTAGACACAGATGTGTATTGGCTCCAGTTTTATTTAATTATTATATAAACTCATTGGTTCTTCACTTAAGTAACTCTACTTTTCATCCTCCCAAATTACCCCATAGACATATCAATTTACTACTGTATGCTGATGATGCAGTAATTCTGTCATTGACTTCCACTGGCCTTAAAAGAGCCTTGAGATCACTTACGCATCGTATTGAGGAGAAATCAATAATAAATTATTCCAAGACTAAGATCTCACTTTCTCCAAATGCCCAAAACAGAGAAGCTGTAACTTAGGTGGGCAATCCATTGAGCAGGTTAAGATTTTAAATATTTAGGGATAGTTTTTCAAGCTTCAGGAAGCAGAAATGGTCATCTGGATTATGTATCTCATAATGCACAGAGATCTGCTTCAGCTATTCAAACTTATTATTTTGCCAGAGGAGCACAGTTTATCCCTGCTTCAGTTAAGTTGTTTGCAGCTAAAGCCCAAGTACAACTGCTATATGGAGCTAATCTAACAGCATGATTACCTTAGAAAGAATTCAAACAAAATTTTTGAGAAGCATCTTTCAGGTTACCTGCTGCATCCCAAACACAATACTCAACAGGAAGCATGAGTCAGTAAACCTGAATCCAATCTCTGGATAAATACCTTTATTTCCTGGCTAAAACCACACAACATTCCTGGTGGCCTGACCCATCTAATATTGGCAGACAACTTCAAATCTTCTTGGGAAACAGCTATCCGAAAGTAACTGAGCCCCTGTGGCTTTTCCAGTGATGCCATCTTAACTTTAGGGCCAGACCAAGTTAAATCAATATTAAGGCAAAGGATCTTAGACACAGAAGGCCAAACAGAAATTTACAAATTCTCTCACAACGTATTTGTAAATAACCAAATTTTAGCTCCTATACTAGCTTCATATTTATATCAGATCACAGTTCCCAAATTCAGGAAAGCTTTATCCTTAGCTCGATTTAATGCTCTCCCCACAGCTGTTTTGAAGGGGAAATATAGGAATATTAAATATTATGAAATCTGATACTGCCCCGTGACACAAGTGCATTAGAATGAACTATTAACTATCATTCCTGAACTTAAAACATGAGGAATAAGAAGACTGTAGTATTCTAAGGTTGTTAGATACACTCATTCAAAATGTCTGTAAAGTATGTTCAAAATTTTTTCAGCCACATACTCTGACATCAAAAACACCACATCAACAGTATTTAACTAAATATAGCTTACTCAGCCTTCTCAGATTCTGTTCTTGTTTCTGATTCATCATCTCTTGCAACTTCAGGTATCTGAAAATTTTTGAAAATATATCAACTTTTAACTTTATGAAATTTCATTTCAAAATTACCAACTGATTATGAATGTTTCAATTAATTAAAAGTGTGTAAAATATGAGGCTACATTAACAGAGAATCTATCAACATCATATTGATGAATGTTGGACTGAAAATGTTTGTGGGTAAAAAGTAAATTGGGAAAGGACTTCCTACAGCTTTAGCTGATAGATTTACCTCTGTCTAATTTATATATATTCCCCTTCATGCCCTAACCCCTGTTTTTTTACAATATTGTGTAATTTTCCACCGCTTTCTTAGTGGGTGGTTCTAGGCACTCGGCTGGGGGAGAAGAGGTCAGCCAGGTAATCACTCCCTTGTGAAATGCAGTAGGCTTTGGTATTCTCCCATTATTTTTTAACATTTAATGAAACTGAGAAAACTCAGGGAGTCAGTGAAGGACAGGAAGGCCTGGCACGATATGGTTCATGGGGTCACAAAGAGTCGGACATGACTTAATGACTGAACAACAACAAAAAGAAGCCACAGGGTGAGGTCATCTGTCAGTTTGGGGTGCAGTATCATCCAAAGGCTGATTATTCTCAATTGTACATTGCCTCCCCAAGTCAGACAGGAGATCCTGCCAATGCCCTGTCTCAAAGGCCACAAATGACAATATCAAGCTTTGGGCATGCTATACCAGGAATGGGAGCAATTTGGTTCCTTCTCGGGCTTCTTCTGTAGCACCCAGGACCAGAAATGATTGATCTGAAGAGCATGTGCCTTGGAGCTCTGATTACTAAGGTTTATTAGAAATAAGTTGAAAATTCCAACACAAGATTTCCAGTGAGTACTTTAAGTTCAGATAAGAAAACTATATACAGATAAATTAAAGCAGTAAGATTCTGGTTTGTTTTCTTGAGCTTTTTCTGATGTACAGTGGAGGACACTTGTCTCTTTTTGAAGGCAGGTTCATCTGCACCGGTAGATTGTTTTGGAAATGACTACTAGTCTTCTCATCAGTGTGAGAATCAGTGGTATCCTGCTCTCAATCCCACCCTTAAGCAGAAATATTGTGGTGCTGAAAAGGTGCCCATTTGGCTTCTGAATGTAGGTGATATGGTCCTGGGGTGCTGCATGGGGTTCTGTTTTATGCACCACCAAGAGGTGCATAAAACAGAAGACATCAGGTGACAACAACATTATCAGATAAACCCATCTTTCCAGAGGAGTAGAATATGGAAGCTGCAGTAATGGCAACACCATGGAGAAGGGATTGAATATTTTGGCAAATTGGAGTGGCAAATTGTGGGGAATGTTCAATGATAGTAATACACCAAGGAGCTATCCAAGATGGGAAAATAGCACCATTATTTGTATTATCATATAGAAACACAAATTTTACTGAATGGATTTTAAAAGTCTTTAAAATACATCTCAGCTTAGCTCAACCTTTTATGGTCTTTTAAAGCATCATAATGTATCAAAACATTTATGTGACAAATACTTTAATAAAGTTCCTAGAATTCTCATTTTTAATCCATTGATTAGATTAAAAACTAAATGTATATAAATCTTACATAGCACATGCATTGTATTACCTACCTGAAATTTCTTCTTCTTACGAACTGCACTTTCCAAAGAAGGAGGTGTTTCTGATCCAATAATATCAGCAATATCCCCAAGGCCAACATCATGACCATGTTTTGATCCACTTTCTTTCTTTGTATAAATGTCAAAAATATCTGATAAGATGTCACTTTCTCCTTTTTCTTTTTTTACAAGTTGCACAATTTCAGCCGTAATGCCATGTTCTAAAATTTCCACTTTTTCTGCTTCGAGCACATCATCATGAATTCCAAACTGTGTTGGATCAGGCATATCTCCTAGAATTTTTGTAACTCTTATATTTTTGGCCCCTTCAACTAGACCGCCGCCAAACACAGTACTCCAAAGAATCTGAAAAATACTCCATACTATAGCAAGAAACATTTGGAAGAATCCTATAAATAGCATCCAAAGAAAAGAAAAGAACACTTTCACCAGTTCTTTAAAAGTCATTTTTCTCACTTTTCTGTATTGTTTCCTTAAATTTTTCAGTCTAATTATCTTGAGAATTGCGGCAGCATTTTTCTTCACTGCATCACATGCCATAGCAAATGCTGAAGCTGATTCAAAGGATTGCTCTTCTTTCTCATCATCTCCAACCTCCCTCAGGTAACAAGCCTCACTCTCTTCCTCCTTCTCAATTCTCTCAATTGTATCAGTTTCAGAGATCTGGGATGCCAACTGCATTTCAAAAATGGTGTCCTCGCAGAAATTTACAAAAAGCTCCATTTTCTCTTGCTCTCCACCTTCATTTACAACATCAAAAATAAATTGCCTTTTTGATTCTTTCACTTGGGGCTTTTCCCACTGTGTCCTACTGGATTCACTGATCTCAAAATAAACTCGTTCTATCTTCTTTGCACTACCCATTATCTCAATGCGTCCCAAATAGGGTTCAAAATAATTAAGGACACTTTCTGCTGGATGTAATAAAGTTTGAAGGCGTGAATCATTTGGCATGTGTTCTGAGAGATTTGTTAAGAGCACTGCCACATTAAACCCAATATCTTTGGCTGGTTCATGAAATCTTTCAACAAAATCAACATAGTTAAACATATCATTTTCATCAGTTTCTGCACAGGATAGCAGGAAGTCAATTTCTGATTGTGTATATTGCTTCTGACCTTCCATGGCTTTTTGAAACTCCTTCTTTGAGATTATACCTTTTCCTTCAGAATCATACTCTTTGAAGGCTTCTGAGCTTGTTAAATCTTTCAGCTTGAGAAACATGTCAAAGAACTTCAAAATCATTTCTACATTGCTAGATGATTCAACAAGCGTATCCACCATCTGTTTTCCAATTGTGCCATTTACAATGTTACCTAAATCATAAATGTAAACATTATTTAATTATAATGCATATATAAAGTTTATTCTGTAATCATATTTAGAAATGATTATAATTGTTTTCAGTCTTATAATCTTCCTTTAAATAAGCTTTTATGCAACCATTGTTCAACTTTATGTGTTTAAATTAATTCCAATTTCTTTTTGAAATTTCAAAGCAGAATTACTATGGTAGCTATAACACAACTTAAGTTAAGGAGAATTTTTTTCAAATAAATTTTATTGTTAGCAATGGAAGAAATAATGCTTTTAAAAAGATTCCACCTTCAAGTAGTGACAACAGCATCACCACCATATCCTTTAGAAGATCCAGTAATTCCTTTAGCAATTCAATTTGGCTGGAATCCTAGGATACAAATGGAGTTAACATTTATTTTTAAAATATTTAAACATAATCTCAATCCACCATCATTACGTTTTAGATGATTGGAACCAATGGGCTATATACGTCTGGCAGAATGCTTAAATACAGAAAATAAATTTAAGATGCTATTCAAGGTAAGGCATAGAATATTGAAAGCTACCTTATCTATTCCATTGAGGATAAATGGGAATCTACCAACTCTTCAGAGTGTCAAGCAGCAGTCTTTCATAGCAACTTTGCCTTTTAACTAAAGAACCTAGGGGCTGAATCTGCAAAGAAGGCACTTTGGAACCAAAAGAGAAGGTAGAAATTTTATAAATAAATACATTAGATCACTGAACTATTATGCCAGCTAAATGGATATCTGGAATAACACTAGACAATAACAGAGAAAGATTACAGTGACTGAGTTATGAACAAGATTCCACTCCCAAGATCAAGGCATATGGGAAGATCATCTTTGCTGGTTTGTTCTTTCTCATAATGTCTGCGTGTCCATGAAACCTTCCCCAGAGAATTAGACAATCCCCCAGAACAGTATAGGATATGTTACAGAAGGGTGGAAAGAGAAATAGGAATAGGAAAATCTGCCTTTTAGTAAGAGGAAATTCTGCTGCGAATCTCCAGAAGGAAATGGATCCATACCATTTTTTAAACCTTATGACTTCTCAAGAGACATCAAAGGGGCATTCCGTAAGACAAATAGGAAATGTTCTTGATGTTCAAATAAATACATAGAGTAATGTGATGGACACTGGCAGGTAATTTCTATTACACATATTGTAAAGAACTCTGCTATCTTCTGTCAGAAGTTTTTGTTTTTGCTTCTTATACACAAAATACAGTTAAGCTATGGGATTCACTACCATCAGTGTTTTTAAAAAATGGATATAGATGAAGAATCAGGTTATCAATGGCTGCTCATCTTGTTAACTATATATCATCTCTTGAATCACAGGCAGCTTACCTTAAATACCAGTTGTTAGGGAGCGACTGTGATAGTGATTTGCCTTCTATCCACACTTCTGAGCTTTCTCGTTGCATCTAGCTGGCCAGCTTGTGACACACAGTGCTGGATTAGAGGAGCCTTTGATCTGATCTAGCAGGATTCTTATGTTCTTAAGTTTTTAAAGTGCTTTTTGTTGTGCTTCAATCCTGTGTCCACTTAAATCAGAAATCTGACTAATTAACTGAGATCAAGCTTGAGCTTCCCCATTTCAGATGCCACCAGCATTTCTGGTTTAATTCAAATCAGGATTGCAGCACTAAATACAGTATGTGTGTGTGGTGGTGGTGGTTGAGAGAAGTGGGAAAAATGGGCTTAGGGCTGTGATGGTTATTTTCAGCTTCACAAACCTCATTTTATGAAATATGAAATGAATGTCTATACTTGATCAACCGATTTACATTTTCAGCAAGGATGTTGAATAAAATTTACCTGCGAAAGTTTCATTTGCATGTTAGCAAAAACGTGCAGAAAGCCAACAACTGCATCCCAGAGCCTACTATGAGCCAAACTCTGCTGGTTTCCAATGCAAGGTCCCTAAAATTGAGGAATAATGCTTTAAGTCCTCTTTTTAGGCATCTATCCCGATAAGTAATGTGCTAAACATTAAGTGCATGTACAATCAGAAGAGATGAAGTTTATATAGGTCCATTATTATAAATAAAAAGGAAATACTATTAAATTCTCTACTATTTAATTATTGATTGATTGTATACCAGCAAATCTACATAAGGGCTTTGAGAATTTAGCAACAGTGAGGAATATAAAGCGTAAGACACACACAGTAATGATAATACAGTATAATCTAAAACATGAGATATAGTAATAATAAATAATAACTGTAACAAAACCATCAAAAAATAAATAAAAATTGAGAACATCTATTTATTAACCATCAAAACTACTCTGGAAGAGCTTTTGGAAATCTGTTATTGACAGGTCAAAGCTAGTTTCTCAGGGATGCTGTTCCATAAAACTAGATCATAGCAGAAAAGCCATGAGCAAAGACATACAACAAAGATAAATGGAAAAACAGAACATAGAACAAAATGAAATTGGATACAAGTATTAAAAGGTGAGAAGGCATTCTGAGATAACTTTCCACAGGTGAAATACTATGAATAAGGATTTGCTTGAACTGAAATTTTCATTAAAACTGAACCAAAGAATTAATTCCTTTTATATCTCTGACCAATACCTTAGGTTACAAGGAAATATATTGTTCAAGAGATACAAAAACTCACTTTTCTTTTCTCCTTTTTCTCCTAGCAACTGTATAAAAACATATGTAAGAATTACACACTCTGCAGATATTCTCCTCATTCCTTATTTTTTAAAAATGGTTTTACAAATGGTGGTAATCATGAAATTCCACTGAAGTAATTTGGGTCTATTACCTTTGGTACCCATTCATCTCTCACATATGTATATTTATGTCCACAAATTATATAACAAAGAGAAAAGTGTTACCTACTTGTATATATTCAGTTAGTGAGTTAAAAATCTGTTTGGTCACAGCCAAAGCCTTAGAGAAGTTATGTTGTCCAGATTCATCAATTATATCTTTTCCAGAGTAGTACCAATAAAAGTCACTGATTGATTCCTAAGAATAAATAATATTTTTTTTCTTTTATATGTTAATGAAGTACTAATCAAACAGTATCCCATAAGGAAATTGTAGAGAGTAGGCAGTATTTTTATATTTATTTTTTTCTATTTATTATGATAAAACTATTTACCATTTTATGATTTATCATATTAAAACAGTTATCATATTAAAACTAAGAAAATCTACTTAAATAAATTCTGAATCCAAACATTAGCCAAAAGATAACTACTCACTTTTAAAAAGACTCCAAAAGAGCACGAAGTACAATATATTATTATTTCATTCATCTTACACTACCTTAAAACACCTCCTATCCTGCCTTTCTATTAAGATTAGCTTTCACTGATGTTAAACAGCATAACAACTTGTGTTACACCACAATATGCATTGAAAACAGCTTGGAACAAAACCCTCCTAACCCCACTACAAACAGTAAGACATAATGAACAGATCCATATTGTTTGTTATAAATTCTTGGTAGAACAGAACCATTTTCATCTGGCACTGAAAAGATAACGAGGTCAGCATCAAGCAAAACCAGCTGGAAAGGAAGCTCCAAAATCAGCATACCAACCTAAAAAGGGCTTAACTTCTGAAGGGTAACCCTATCATCTAATTAGAAGAACTACTAACCCACAAACTATCTTTCTAAATGTGAGATGAAAAACCTACAACAATAATGGTTCACGTATGACTTGTGAAACTTACTTAAATCCCCGCTTCAACTTTCCCCAGCCTGGGTGCACTAGTTAAACTGACTTTAATTCCCAGAATTCATAGCAGTGGCAAAGCTGGCTGGGAAATTCTGAAGTTCAAGTCTTTGTGAGCCTGGATCAGAAAAGGCTGCCTTACTTAAATATCCTGTCTCTTGAGTCAGTATCTTATATCTGACACTCCGGGACAGTTTTATTTTCACATTCCTGACAATTGAATGGAATCAGCTGAGAAGTTCCTTCACAGTCCCAATCAACTTGTCCCAATAAATCCCTTCTTTTTAGTTTTGTAAGCTTCTTTGGGTTGGTCTGCAAGTACCTCTATGAAGTTGGCCTAGATGACTACACATCAGTGTCCTTACTACTGTGTATAAAACCAGGGGAAGTTTAGTGAATCAAGCACAGCCTATGTATTTTCTCAGGAAAGCAGCACTCGTTTTTATTCCCTCACAGCCTCTGCAAGCATAAAAGAAAAGCAATATTTTTTAAACCAGTATTTCCTCAGCCTCGAGATGGAAAACTCAATGAGATTCAAATAATCCAGCTTCATAGGTACAATTAGGAAAAGAAAAACCTGAGTGTGATTCAGGTTATTGATCAAACATTTAAATCTTGATAAGTTTTGCCAAGATTTAAGGTTAAGAAGAGTCATCAATATAGTTGTGGGTTTCTTGCAAGATTAGACTTTAGAGTTTCTATTCAAATTGGTTGCCAAGGAGCTTCTCTTTCAATTAATACAATACAATTGAAAAAGAGGACACAATTATCATGGAGCCTGTAAGAAGAAAGAAGAATAGAAACTCCAAGTGTGATGAAAGCCAAAAGCCTGTAATGGCAGAAAGACTTTTCAAAATAGGGTGATATAATATAATATAGAGTATTTTCTTTGTTTACCTGAAGTCGCAAAAGATAATCTACTGTGCTAATAATAATATTCACTGTTGTAGTATTGCCCATTTGAGTGCGCAGGTAATTCTGAAAATCTGAAAGATAAAATAATGTGTGCTGCATAAATGAAAATTTAATATAGTCTTACTTATTTTCATTTTTTTTTTTTTGGTCATGTAGAAAATGAAAAAAATTGTGCATTATTTTGAAAGGAACATTTCTTTCATAATTACCTCTGATGGATACCACAGTAGTTGTGTCTAATAATATGAAAAAATTGTAATCTTTTTAAAGCAACAGAGATATGAAATAGTAATTGCATATCATATTACATAGCAAAACTTCTCCCTTACTAGATTTGAATTTAATAAAATGGCAATTTGATTTGTATCTTGAAAGGACTCATACTTGTGAAAAATTATTTCTGAGAACTGAGTCCATCTCATCTGAGAAACTGATTAACTGTTGAAGAATTGAAAATCAATTTAAGTATGAAATATATTGAAATGACTTATTCCCCCAAAGATTTAAATCAAACACTAATTTGCTGAAAATGTATTATACATCACTTACCATTGTTATGACCTTCACACAGCAGTTGTAAAAATCTAAATAGATCTTTAGTAAACTCATCATTCTGTAGTACTTTCTCACCTTGAAAATATATAGTACAATACAATGAATTATGCAATGATCAGTTGTTTCTAAACATGCAGAACAAATAGTCTTTCAACAGCATCCTTCGAACTAAGTGATTCTAATAAAAAGCAAATACTGTAAGCTAATTTACAGTAGTTTGTTCTTAAAAAAAAGAAATACATTGGAAAAATGATAAAAGCAAACTATAAAACAGAAAAAGCAAAGCTAAAATATTTAGCACTCCAAAGCATTCATGATCAAAACTACAGGACTAAAAAATCTAATAGGAAATGGTTAGTCATCAAACCATGCCTTAGATATGAAAGACGCTTCTTTAATTAAGCATCAAATTGTTTCTTCAAGCCCAATACGCAATCATCTGCAGACCATGAAAGTTAACCTAAAAGATATCTATAAAGATGCAATTAAAGAAGATTTCTTTCTGTATTTGCCACACACAATAGCATCAAAAGCTGTAAACCCAAACGTACCACGCTCACGTATGATGACTGTGGATCAAAGAAAAATAGTAAGAATACAAAATAAGCAAGTTATAATTACATTATATCTTTTATTAAATGTTTTCTTGGAAACTAAATGTAACAGAATAGTTTAATAGCACATCATTTTAAGGAGGTTAAATAAAGAGACCTTAAATAAGCTGAACATTTGGGCTGAAAAAAAAATATATAAATCTATCTGAATGATACTATTTCATTAATTGTACATACGTGTTCCTTCTTCAGTAACCATTCCAAGGCCTTCTGCTTTATTTTGTCTCTCGAAGGCATTCAAATCAAGAACACTTTTATATATATATATAAAAAAGACAATGGAGAAAAGAATTCTGAATCCAATAGTAAGACTCCAAACTGATCGCATACAGATGTAATAAACAAATCATTCAAACAGTAGAAAGTGAATTATAAAGGTTTAAAAATGGTACAGTTGAAAGATGAAAAATTAGTTTCATTGGAATCAGTATTAACTGTCTCTCTGTCAATATTCCCTCCTAAACCCAAACCAGTTTTTCAATATTCCTTCTGTTGATATAACTGCAGAATATCAATTGGGATGAAAATTAATCCAATCCTAATCTAATGAAAATGAATCCATCAAATGTTTTCTCCTTATTTATCAATGATAAGGCCAGCAATAACTGACTTACTCTTTAAATGTGGTGGTTGTTATTATTAACAACAACAGCAAAACTGTCTGGAGTTTTGGCATGAAAGCATTATAAAGGTTCTTAGAGGGGGAAATAATGCATGCCCCAGTGCCAAATCCGTTCATTGCATCTCAGTTCACATCGCCACATTTCCCCAGAGTTTGGAAAAACATGAAGTATATATCCCATTGAAGATGTGAAAGACCAGGTTAGGGATAGATCTTCATGGAGAAAATCTATCTATGTGATGTTAAGAGTTGACAATGACTTGATGGTACATAATCAATCAATATATCCCATTCACACATGCAACTGAGCACAGAAAGTCTTTACCTGCAAGATTGCATTAAGCCAGAGATAGACTGAAAAAAACCAGCATCCTTTTTCTCTTTCAAATAATCCAACATTTTCTGAAACAGAGATGGGAAAAAAAAGTTGTATTAAAAATAGCATGAGGGTTTTTTAATGATAAAATTGACAAGAACATATTTTTCTAAGATGCCAATAATAAGCTATTATCTTAACATATTATTGGCACCTCTAGACTTGGCTTCAGAACTGGCATAATGTAAACTTAGATGTTGCATGTTTGAAGATCTTCTTGGCTAGACCCCTCACTGCTGAGTGCTAAGAGGGGGGATGTGGAAATGGGCATGGAATTGGGGTAGATGGGTCCTATGGTCTGGGATAAAAGAGGGGGTGGGGTGGGAAGCTGAGATAGGGTGAGGTAAGGGGTATCAATATTATGACAGGCAAAGGGGATATGGGGATATGCCTGTGGGCAGGCAGCTTACAGGCTGATGACTTGGATAGTTGTGATAAAGTCCACCTGCCAGCCCTCAGTGTTCACCCCTGAGGATAGGTGATCAGATTTTTTTTTTAAAGTATATAATTTTTATTAAGGATTTTCACAGAATTAAAAGACAGACATGAAATAATATAGAGTAAGATTAGAAAAAAGAGGAAGAAAAAAGATGAGAAAAAGTTTGAAAAGAAATACAAATAGGAAACAAAAGATATACAAAGAAATGACTTCCAATCTTCTTTACAGCAGTTACAAACTTATTCTTTCTCTTCCCTTATTAAAATTACATCATAATCCCCTTCTTTCTATATTCAACCCTTTTTGATCAGAAAATCCATAAATCACCAGTTCATTTTTTCCCACTTTCAGCAAAAAGTCCACAACAGGTTTTCAGTCTTTAATAAAAGTAGGATAGGTGATTAGGTCCTTGATGCCGTGTCTCTGACTGCCATTAAATGCCAGGTTGGAGTACAATAAATCCATCCTCATCCATGATTCGATCATGCAGGAGTCAGCCAACTTGGCTTGCATAGCCAAGACCTGTCTGGGCCCAGAGTAGGCGTCCTCATCTTGGAAATGTGCCCACCCAGGTTTTGAGTTTGTACCAGCTCTGAGCCCAGGGTAGGGAGGTGTGACAACTGGGGTGGCAGTTGTCATCTGAGAATCCTTATTAACTAGTAGTGAGACCTTATGCGTGAAGTTGGGCACCAAGGAATAGCTGGGTTTGTTGCTGCTGCATCATCTTCCCTGCTGTGCAGCATTATCCCTGCCTGAGCTGCTGGATTACACTGATGCATTAGGAGTTGAATTCCAAGATTAATGGGTTCTTGAGGATTTTAACCTGCCTCCCAGTAGTACTAAGTCTGGGGATGTTCAGGGGATGGCCTCCAAATTATTGAAGGTCCAATCATGCTGGAGATCGCACATTAAATCTAGGTTTTATCTTGGGGTTGCAATGTTGTCTGAAGGTGAAGGACATTACTCAGTGGGCTCAGGTGCAATACAGAGGGTAATAATAGTTTGAGACAGCCATTATTTGATCAGAAGTTTTGCATGCAAAACATATGCATGTACAAATAAATAAAGGTATATTATGTAAAGTTGCATACAAACTGGTACTTTCTCACTTAACATTCTTAAAAGCATATGTGCCCAAAGAAACGATTGCATAACTATGAATATGGTTACCTGTTGAACAACGGAGTTACCTCCATTTAGAACAGCAATGCCAAGTTTCAAGGTTTCAACTACCATGGGTCCCATTTCACCTGTCAATCAAGAATACAGTAATTAAACTGTAGTCAAAAATTGATGTTTTTAAAAAGATCTAAGCATTTCTCCAGGTTCAAAATCAATACCGTGTATGAAGCTACTGTAGAGTCCTTGGTGCTCTCTGTGCTTGGTTCTTTGCTTGCAGACGTTTCATTACCCAACTAGGTAACATCATCAGTCCTAGTGAGTGTGGGTTTGCTGCCTGTTTAAAAAGCAACAAGGACTCTACAGTTCAGCCCTGAGCTACTGTACATATATTCTCTTCTATTGCAGCTACTGTTTAACAAAAATGTTAAAAAGCTATCCTAACAGCATCTTTTAGACTATATATTTATAAATACTTATAGCTTAATTTTGTCTCAGGGAAAAGTAAAACTAAAGCTAAAACCAATGTCAGAATGATTTCTGAAAATAAAGTACATTTTATATTTTTTATTAATGGTCAAGACATAGACAGATTCTTTCCTGTAACTCTGGTTCTTCAGGAAGTCAGCTGTGAAATCATACTTATGGGTTTTTACATATGTGCAGAGTCTTTTAGAATATTCTAAAGCTAGGCTAGGTTGAAGGGAGTGCTGTTTCTCTACCCTCTGTGCATAACATCAAGGGATATGGTTCCCGTTTTCTCAGTTTACATTTCTGACTGGCACAATATAACATAAAGAGAGAAAGATCAAAAGCAGTTTCATGTGTTAAATATCTAATAGATGGGATTGTAATCACAAGCTCACTTTGTGCTATGCATTTTGTAGGAACCCTTGACATTTATAAAGGGACTGTGTTGGGCAGGGAAACCAGGAAGGTCTGATGGGGGTGCTGGGTGGGCTGTTACAAGAGAAGGGATACCAGGAAATGAATATTGAGTCTTTTTCTTTTCTTTCTCTTTGTTTGGGGTTTTTTTGGTAGGTATGGCAAAACTGAAGCTGAACACAAGGGCAATTTTGAATGCTTGGTGGAAGTAAGTTAGTTAAGTTAAACAGTACTAAGAGAGATACAAAAGTGAATCATTCTGATATGGTGGAAGCCATCAGTAAGAGAACCAAATCTCCCTAAAGGCAGTCTTATGTCAGCACCAGAGGACCATATGACCATAACAAGGTGATTGACAGAGTTAGGACAAAGCACAGATATAAAGGTTTAGGCACAATAAGGTTCTCTGAAGCTGATGCTTCTAGTACTTTCTCCCAATGAACAACTCACTGATGTTTCATTCTACTTCATACCTAATGAATAAAAATGCAGCAGAGTTTACTGAAGTCCATGAGAAGATAGAGTCACTAGTTTTGACATTTTTTAGAAAAAAAAATCTACCTTCTTCACTGTAGCCTCATGAAAACAGCTCAAGGAAAGCCACTAAATATTTTTTTAAAAATGGAGAAAACAAATAAAAACGGCAAAAGATGAAAATATTAAGTAGACCAAGGAGATAAAAATGAAATAATTACAGGTTTTCTTAAAAGAATTGGAAGATGGAAGTAGAATCCAGATGTGGAACTACCCAAGCACATGTTTCTGAGCTTCAGATAGATAGATAGATAGATAGATAGATAGATAGATAGATAGATAGATAGACAGACAGATAGATAGACAGATAAATAGATAGATAGACAGACAGACAGACAGACAGACAGACAGAGATAGAGTCTGTTTAATGACTGACTTTCTTTTCTGTCAAGATAGAATGAAATACATACATGCAAAGAAATACATAAATAAATATCAAATAATTCTTCCATTTTTAGTGTATTACCTTTGCTGGCACTGATCATCTGTAATACCATTTCAGCAGCTCCACGTTCATGGAGTCGAGATTGCTGATAAAGGGTTTTCTGCTTTTCCATTTCTTTTTCCTGAATGTCAGAATACAGATACGTGTTAACATATTGTAGTACTTGCCATCCATATCAAAAACCATAAGACCTTTAAAAACAAACTTTTTAACAGAAACGATCACAAACCTATTAAATTGTATTTTAAAAGACTAAATCAGCCATGATAATCACTCTAATGCAGCAACATTTGTTAAGGACTTATTTTTAAAATAATTTCCATAACAGATTTGTATAAAAAGTTTCACCCACAATTGATACAGTAATAGGCATGGAATAAATGCTTCAAAGGGAACAATTTAAATTTTAAAAGAACAGTAAGCAGCTTTTCTTTTTATATGGAACAAAAGGCAGAGACAAATTAATGTGAAAGAAAGAAAGAAAAAAAATGTAAGTAGAAAGAAATGCAAACATGATTGGCAATAACTGAAAATGTAATCATGACTATGTATATCACTATGTTAACTGATAACGTTTGAATAAAATGTGTAACTTATCTCAAATGACTGCATCATTTCTAATAGGTATATAAATTATGAAACATCTTATTTTAAATAAAACCACGAACCTCAAATGTCTTCTCCTTTTCTTCTTCCTCTTCCTGTTCATCACCATCTTGTCCACTCTGACAGCTCTTTTCTCATTAGAAAGAAACAGGCTCAGATAATGAATAAGCAGAAAGCAAGTCAAATTTTAAACCACTGTTTATAAGCAGAGAATTGATCATTTCATCAAATGGTTTTTAATTTAATTTTTTTTTTACCTACAAAATTATTTTGTTATAAAGTGGCCGTCATGACAGTTTTGGCTAGTTGGAAAACATTTTGTTAGAAATGAAACTTCCCGCCATCCTCCCCCCACCATGTCCTTTCAGCTTCCCATGAAAATCCTGACTACCCTTTCTTCTGCCTATCTCTGCTCTTTCTTCCTAGTGGTTATAGAAAGTAAGGAAGATGATCTTGATGGAGATACTCAAATTTCATTGCCAAAGGCAGCAAGAGCTAAAACCATTTTTAAGTCCAGAATGTCCAGATAATATTTGAAAGTAGCTCAGACAAACATCTTCCTAATTCACTGAACTATAAGAAGGAGAAGGAAGTACAACAAAATGAGACTTGCAAGATACTAGAGGCTGGTATTTCATTATGCAATATGCTTAGTTCTCATTCAATGCACATTATTGAGAATTAAAATAAAAACAAATCCCCCACCCCCTACCTCCAGGAGTGAACCAAGTAGGCCCCCAAAAAGGTGATGCAGGCAAGCTGGTGCCATTTTGGGATGCCACACCTAAGCAAAGTGAATGTCTTGACAGATTAAAAAGCCAAATTTCAACCATATCACAATACAAGTCCCTGTTTCCATTAGCTTCTCCTTTCAGTGTTCTCTGATTACTACAGTGATGATAACCATTTGGACAATTAATTCCATTCAGGCATATTCATCAGTCTCTTATACAACAATGCAAGTAGATCTCAGGGATGTTTTCAAACTAATTTCTTCTGAATACGCTTTCTCTGAACCAAAGACTTTTTAAAAAATCCTCTAGGACAGAAGGTTAATTTCAAGCCCAAGATCAAAATTTCTGTTGTGTCGTTCTTCATTTAATTGCAATATCACTATAAGGTTGGCAATAAACATATAATGCACAGGTGATCTCAGTCTAGGTCTAAACCTTCCCTTTAAGAAAATAAGCAGTCTTTTATGAACATTCTCTCTTTTTTAAGTTTTACTTTGATACAAGCTTTGATTATTTTCTTTCAAGCTTGTTCTCCATGATAATAGTTGCATACTTTCTATACAGAAATAAAGGATTTTGAATTTCCTAAATTAATGTACAGCCATAGACGCCTAAAGTTTTTTGATTAGCATGATAGAAATGAAACATTTTTCAGAAGTAGGTGAAAAGTTTATTGATTTAGAAAAAGCATCTGATAGAAAGAATAGCCTTGAAACATGGAATGTTTTGCATAAATAAGAAGGTTAGTTGTGAAATGTGGTAAGAGTAGTATATGAACAAAGTAAAGCATTGATAAGAGTAATAAGAATGGTTCATCACTGAACAGGGAATGAGACAAGAATATTTGGTGTCCCTTTGATCATTTAATCTACTTAGGAATAAATAGATAAGCAATCATTGTGGTGATCTTAGAGGTATCTTAGGTGAAGATGTGAATGTCCATGTACTTTTGTATGCAGATGATGGTGTGTTGTTGCTGAAAATCCAGATGCTTTGCAGTGAATGATAGCCTGTATGATGCAACAAGAGACCCAGTTTGGTATAGTGGTTAAGGTAGCAGACTAGAAACTGGGAGACCATGAGTTCTAGTCCTGCCTTAGGCACTAAGCCAGCTGGGAGATTTTGGGCCAGTCATTCTCTCTCAGCCCTAAGAAGGCAGCAATGGCAAATTTCTAAAAATGTTGCCAAGAAAACTGCAGGAACTAGTCCTGTAAGCACTTAGAAGCCGCCTATCCAAGATCCCATACTTGGTTTCAGCTTCGCAAAGTTCTAAGATCAAGCAGTTGAATTATCAAAACTGTAAAACAGATTTCAGATATACCTGAAATAAAGAGATAGTATTCTAAATATAATTGTTTTCAGGTAGATATTTAAATCAGATACTCACCTTTGCCATCATTGCTGAATATGCAGTGTACAAGGGATCATTTTCCAGTTTGCTGTAGAAAGGTATGAAATAACTTTATATATATATTTCTGAAGAAGCTCTACAAGTTACTGAATTGAAGTTCCAGTAATTATTAAAGCACAGAAACTTTCATCTTCTTACAAGTCCATGATACATAATACCATCTTATAAGCTTATGGGATAGATTCCATGTCAGATTCTTTATTAAAACATTTATTTACCAAGTGCTTTTACAACTGAAAAATATATCTATCTACCTCACATGTGGATTTTTTTTTCTATTATGCCTTGGAAATGCTTACAAAGATTCCAGCCATGGCTTTGCTATACAGCTGATGATTATCTCTGATCATATCAGATACAAAATCAGTTTCTACAATAACAGAAAACTTTCATTAATTCTAAATGTTTTATTACTGTTGTGTTAAAAGGATTTTGGGAAACTTGTAAGCTCAATCCTAAACAAATGTATGTTTTAACCTTTTAACTTTATCTTTCTTTTTGCTCCTTACTCATTTTAAGATTAAGGCTCCATTAAAATGGCACAGTATCACCTTTGCCTTAAAAAAATCTTCTGAAAACATCATTTAAAAAATGACCATGCAAACACATGTCATGTCCAACTTGGTATTTCTCAGTTTCTTTTACAAATATATATGTATAAATATATATATAAAAATAAAAACTTGGCTATGCTGCCAGATCTTGGGGTAGGGTAGGGGGAACTCCCGTTTGTGATGTCTTATGTTTTGATATGTTGTATCCATTGCACCTTGCAATTACTCTCTAGCTATTTTTTGTGATTTGTTTGGTCAAATTTATTGTATTTTGTTGTTTTTATGTTGCTCTTTACGGAGTTGGCAGGCAGGCAGGCAGGCAGGCAGGCAGGCAGGAAGGAAGTTACCTTCTTTCAGTGAGAGCACTTCGACTGAAATGAAGAATAATCTGGTGTAAAGGATCTGGATGCTTTTCAGCCTCTTCTTCTTCCTCTTCAGTTTTTTTGGGTGGGGTCTATGCAAGAATCATATTGAAATATTTTATATACTTAATATAATATTTTAATATTTAATATTTATTTTAATATTTTCTTTGCTGAAACAGCAAAGAAAAAAATAACTGGAATCACTGTTTTTCATTTTCATTTTCATAGTTTTAATATTTATATTTTCATGTTGATATTTTAACTAGAAAATTCAATTACACAGTGCCTTTTCTTATATAAAATCAGTCTTTAATAGTAAAATGTTTACACACCTAATTCCCTTCAGACACAATTAAGTTTACTTCTAAGTAAAAATATATAGGATTGCATAATCAGAACCTGTAATGGGCAAATCTTGACTCTAATTACAAATCAGACTATTTTTTCCAGAAACAGATCTAGTTTACTATCTGCACTCTGATTTGGTTTGCCTGGGTTATTTACATTCCTCCAGAGCTGCCCGCTATAGGCCAGCATGTCATGTCTGTTCTGTGGCTTTATGTCAGCCCTATAAGGTAGATCAAACTAAGAAACCAATGCCGCATAGGTCAGGACTACTTTTATTGTAAGAGCTGCAGTCATAGAATCTTGCACGTCTGAATGTGCTTCCCCGTTCCCTCACTTTATCTTTGTGTGAAGTAGGAAGGGGCCTGTCTGAGGTGTTTTCTTAAACTAGTTTCTTGTAATGGGCTCGAGCCGTGCTTGTCTGATCCTTGCTTGGTGGCAGCTCATTCTCCTGTCCCTCAAGGCCATTCGCTATGCCCACCACACTTTAGAATCTTCATGGTTGCCCCTGCAGCAAGGATTGAGACTTCTCTATCAACGCCACTGAATCATCTGGAACCGACAGTGAAGGAAGCAATTCACGTCTGTGATTGGAACTTCTCTCCCTTATCCTGGGAACGAGAGTTCTTTCAGTTTTAATGACCATGCTCATAGCATACCATATGGCTACGGAATCAGATAAATGAAACAGAGGTGCACTTTCTTTTTCTGCATGCCCTGGATCATAGTTTTATGTACACCTGTTTAATCACAGCAGAACACAATTGTATAATCTCCATCATAGGAAATTCAATATGTTTTGCAACAAATTAACAATATCAAAGCAAATCTCTCTAAAGAGAGCTACCTATAGCTATATGCTATTTACCTGTTATGCAACTCCCTATAATAATATCCTCAACTAAATGTTGCCGTCTGATGAATGAGAATAATAATCTGATTATTGTGTTGATGGCATAATAGATGTTTTCGTTGCTAAGTTACCCTATGATTCACTTTTCCTTTATGCTGCAATAGACTAGCACAGAAGCAGTTTAGAAAATTCTTACTTGTCTTTCACAGAGATTTCCACAATTTGATAAAAAAAGTAATAGCTACATTTAAGTGAATGTGTTCTGGACTGTGATTTGTCCATCTGTTCAATACATTTAAGTAAAAAAAAAAAAAGCCTTTGCCCTTTAAAAATATTAAAGAGTACTATCAAAGACTATCAAACACATCTACTTGTGCAGAGATTGTCTTCTTAAGAGTGTGAGTTTTCAATTGCAGGAAAAAAAGTCAGAGAGAACATTCAGAAATGCAGAAGTATGAATGGATGATGACATTATATGTACCTCCACCACCTTCTGTGAAATGTAATTGAAAGAGACATGGTAATTCTACATTTAATACCAAAGTGGAATTAGCCTGTGTCAGGACAGTTAAAATACTGCATCAATTATGCAAATGCATTTTAAGTGAATATAAAAACATCAACTCATAAATCTATTAGTCTCTTCTACACTGCTGGATGTTGCCTTCCTGCAAGGAAAACATTATAATTGGCACCTAGGGTGAACTAATCATTTCACATGCAGGGGAAAAAAAAAAGTAATAGTTCCATAAATCATTGCTTAGTCTATCAGTTAAAAAGAAAATAGTTAAAATTGTTTGGAATTTAAAAAATGCATTGTCAATAAAAAAAAAATGGCTAAAAGACAAATCTGCTGAATACTGCCATGCTTGTTTATAATTCATTAGAATGCCACTGTATTATAATATCAAGGAAAAGCTAGCATTAGCTTGTATTAAAAAAGCTTGGCGTATTAAAATAAATCAAAGGGTCATGCAATAAACAAAATGCCAACTGACAAAAAAAGCATTCATTGTATTAAACTTTCAAAAACATTAGACCAAGGGATTTGGTCTTATCCATTACAGAATTAGTCTCAGTCCAAATATATAACAAAGTTAAGGTATGATATGCTGTTCACATAATGGCATAAAACATTGTTGGGCCCCTCAAGATTGTACATATGACAGTGTTTATAAATTCTGGCACGAAGACATTGTGGAATGAGCCCAGTTATATCTGTACTTACAGCCAAATCCTGAACTAGTTTTTCCTCAAAGGAATATTCCTCTGATTCTATCCAATATTTCTGATAACCATGAAGGAACAGGTTAATAGAACGGTGCCTAGGAGTAGGGGGTGAAAATGAGATCCAGAGGGAAAACAAAATAAAATAAAAAAGCTTAGATGGTTACTGATTAGTAAAGCCTGTGGATTTAGTAGAATTCAATTCTACCTGGTCAAAAAGCATTAACATTAAAGAATGTTTAGCAAAGATTAAATAACATAGATGACAATGTATTATTTTAATAAACTGTACCAGACATATCAAAAAGAAAAGAAGGTTGTCAGTATGCTCATATTTTACTGTACATTTTAGAATTCAAATTCCTGTAGATGCAAGTCCTTGATTTTCTATTCTTTTCCCCAAAGACAAAGTGGAAAAAAACATACTCCATTTTAGTGCAACTCTAAATTGCTCTTTACCAGTATGAGTCCCACTGAATATAAATGAACTTAAAACATGAACTATCAATTTTGCATCTTTATTGATTATTTTACTTCAGGTTTACTTTTTTAATATAGCAAGTGTAAAACATGAGCCTAATTATTCCACTTCTTTGCACTTTGTCTAAAAATGATGTCCTTATCAATATGATATACCATCAACTTCACATATAACTTTAAGCCAAGATTGTTGTAGTTTCTCTAAAACACTATAATTGTCTGATTTGTACCTCATGGTATTCCATAATGAATAAGTTTGCGCAGTATAGAATTCCTTCCAACCCTATGTAGGACCCTAGTGCAACACCAAGTGCAGGAATCTTCATGCCATCCTGGACAAATGGTTATCCAATATTTTCTCAAAAACCTCCAGTGATGGAGCACCCTAGTGCTCCTAGACTTTAAGAGATCGATTGTTCTACTGTTTAGAAACTCTCACAGTCAGAAAATTCCTCCTTATTTCAAGTTTGAATCTCCCTCTGTAAAGCTTCCACCCACTGGTTTGTTTCTTACCTTCAGGTGCTATGGAGAATAAATTCACACTCTCTGTTCTGTGAAATCCCTTAATATATTAGAAGACCACTATCATGCTGCCCCCCACCTTAGCCTTCTTTTCTTTAGGCTAAACCAAGTTCCTTTAACCACTCCTTTTAGGATTTAGCCTCCAAATCCCAAGTCGTTCTTCTCTGTACTCTTTCCAGTTCCTCAACATCCTTTCTGTATTGTGGTGACCAGAATTGGACACAGTATTCCAGATGTGAACTGACCAATGCAGTGTAAAGCACTATTATCACTTCCTGGGATCCTGATACTATACCTCTGCTGATGCAGCCTAAAACTACATTGGCTCTTTTGGCAGCTGCAGCACACTGCTGGTTCATGCTTCATCTGTGGTCTACCAGGATACCCAGATCCTTCTTGCAAGTACTACTGCTGAGCCAAGTATCACCTATCTTATACATGCGCATCTAGTGTTTCTGCCTAAGTGCAGAAAAGTACATTTCTTACTACTGAACAACATTTTGTTGAATTGGGCCCAATGTTCATGTCAATTAAAATCCTTTTAAACTTTGACCCTGTTTTGGTAATCCCCCCAGCTTTGTGTCATCCACACATTTTATGAGCACCCCTTCTAGTCACTGAGAGTCAGGTAGCATACAAGTTTAATAAATAATGAGGATGAGGATGAGGATGAGGATGAGGATGAGGATGTTGGCTATGGTTGTTCAGCCAACGCTGAACCCATCTGGAAGTGGAACCATACATCCCACATTGTTCCAATTTATCAAGAAGGAGGCTATGTTCTACTTTATCAAAAGCCCTACTGAAGTCTAAATACACTACATCACAGCATTCCCTTGGTCCATTAATCTAGTCACATAGTGAAAGAAATCAATAAGATTTGTCCGGCATGATGGCTTTTTAACAAATCCATGCTGGCTGGAAACCATGTGAAACTTTAATATTATGTGTGAAGCTGGGCAGATTGCAGGATTATTCATGCTGAATTTTAAGCCCACAAAATATTCTCCCCACCTTCTTCAATACAGACACTGTATATTTGAAATATTTTGTTCTAGTTTTATACTAAAAGCAATTTCTTGCTGTGGAATTACTTAGAATTATACTAGCTTCAAATAATCAGTTTTAATCACAGTTTAGGGTTTCAAGAAGCCCTAAACTCTGGTTAATCAAAAAGGAAGTAGAATCTTTCAATAGCTCCCTGGAAATTATGGAATTATGGAAGATTATAGCAGCTTGAAACATAACTAGTAGCAAACAGTAAAATGTTATAGTGTAATATAAATATGATATAAATAAATACGATAAATAAATAAATCATATGTGTGCAATTAGTTTAATATGTGTGAACCTGAATATTGTATTTCATTGGAGCTGAGTGCACGGAAAGCTCCTCCCCAAATATGTAGTCAGTGTTTGTACTTTCTAAGATCTCTTTAAATAAGAGATGGAGAACTTCTGCTTTTTCTTAAATAAAGACGACGTCACCATTGTTCCTACAGAACATTCTTTACTGCTATGAAGAAGAGAGGGAGGGAGGGAGGGAGTGTGTGCTTCCCTCTTTTCATGGAAAGGGTCACTTGGAGAGCAGACAAAAAGCTGCTTGGATTCTAAGGTCATGGACTTCACAGAAGTGCTCTTCCCCTAACAGTGGAGGTGTCTTCAATTAACAAAGGACAGCTGGGTAGGGGAAGACATCCCTTTTATGAATGTCTAGTAAGTTAACTGCTCTTTTCATCTATATCTGATTTAGAGTGACTAAATCTCCCCCATATCTCATCCCACATTATCCATTATTTTATTGTGCGCCGCCCAGAGTCACCTTGTGTGAGATGGGCAGCCATATCAATTTGATAAATAAATAAATAGAAATAAAAAATAAATCCAGAGGGTCTTCATGCTTACCTTCTGTTAAGGCCCAAACCAACTATGTACAATTCGTTATGCAGAATTACAATACTTACTAATTTAAGAAGATTACTATATGTATGTACTGAAAAATAGTCTTGCTAAGTTTACTATAAATTTATCTGTTGGAAATTTCATTTCAGAAAAGAAAAGTATTTATTCATTATGTTTCAATGCCTTTAAAATATTTTGTAACATTAAGAACTAAATGGCAGCAAAAATTCCAAACTGTGAAGAACACTGTAGGTTTTTAGTCAAGAAGATCATGCAACTATACCAGAAAGGACTGCCCCCCCTTCTGAAAAAACACTTAGAGTAGTAGGAGCAGTAAGAACTGCCAGAATATAAAACAAAGCTGTTTTTTAAAATTAATTCTCACATTTTGAATTCCCATTTGTTCCAAATACATTACAAGCTAAAAGAAGCAAAATGCCAGAAACTTAGATTTGCACATAAGAAGCATGTTGGCAATTGTGTTTCAAAGAATACTAATTGCATAGCATATGCAAACAATCAGGGTTATTCAAAATAAAATATCCAGTAATCTCTTCAAAGAACCTCAGGCACAATCCATCTTTATGGAACTGCATATGTGGGAGAGAGAAAATCTCCCTAGGATAATATTAAGCCCTCTTCCACTCTTCTTCCTCCGCCTTTCCTATTCTCCTGATGCCAAAAACATACATAGTTAGTTTTGTGCATGTCACGTAGCATCTGGAAAGTCATTTTGTTGGATTCACGGATATAGTTTCCATTGCAAACAACAGCTCTGCTATTCCATATGCCTGAATGCTGAATGAAAGAGGGGAGGGGGTGGAACTGCCAAATATTGGTGGAACTCTGTATCTCTAGCTATGAACCTTGAACATACAATTGATATATATAAGAAAATAATCTTTACTTTTTTTATTTTGGCCAAATCCTTAAATGAGTGATGTTAATCACATAGAAAAAATAATGTATTTAAATATTTAAATATTAAATATACAGTTCTTTTTTCCATGTGCCCAATCCAGATTGGAGTGGGTTAGATTTACTATATATCTGGCACTGAATAATTGGGTAATTCACACAATCAAGCCCAAGTCAGTTGTTTTATAGTAACCAGAGACTTCTCTAAAACATATTGGTTAAAAATGATATAACTTTACCAAAGGCCATTGAAGTCTAATTTGCAAGACCCCTAAATCATTTAATAATAGCAGAAGTAATGAATAGTGTGTGTGTGCCTTCGAGTCAGTGTTGACTCCTGGTGACTGCCTGGACAAGTCCCTGCAGTTTTCTTGGCAAGATTTCAGAAGTGGTTTGCCATTGCCTCCTTCCTAGGGCTGAGAAGAGTGACTGGCCCAAGGTTACTCAGCTGGTTTTATGCCCAAGGCAGGACTAGAACTCACAGTCTCTTGGTCTCTAGCCTAGTGCTTTAACCACTACAACAAACTGGCTAGATTTTTCTGGGAGGGTGAAACATCCCTCTGGATCAACACCATGAAGGATCATTCCCTTCATCAGTTGTCCTCATGTATCCTGATGTACACTCATGCCCAGAAGGCCTCAGGAGAGCCTTGAAAGAGCTGTGTTGTGCCTTCAAGCCACTGTCTCGGGTTCACACCTTCCCACTGTGGAACCAGACAGGCATTTTGCTTGTGAGAGAGGTTTTCATCAAAGTATATGCAGAGGCTAAGCAATTAAAGGGTGATGAAGTTGAATAGAAACATAAGAACTATGGATGAAAATCATTAATGAAGGCCTAGTGTGCTCCCCAAATTGATCATGTTTGCCATTTATATCCATTTTAAATCAATGAAGCATGTAAAGTATCTCTTACTGAGAGCTTCAGATGTGGACCTGCCTGCATTTTCAACAATGCAAGCAGCTGAAGTTTAGAATTCCTTGCATTCAGAAACTCAACGAGATATATGAAAGTCTTCTAAAAATATGTACCTTGGCAGATTATACAGTGGTGCCATCCTGAAACAAGCCACAACAGCTCTTTTACGTTGTTTGGACAATAGTTTGTGCCAAACTGCTTTCTTTGATCTTAATGGTTGCTCAACCTATGGAAAAACACCATTGTGCATAAAGATATGATTTTAACTGATTCTCACCTGGTACAATGAAAAGGATTAGTTAATATTTATATTACATGATATAATAGCAACTTTTCTTGCCTCCCCAATTAAAAATAGAATTTTCATTTGAAAATTTCAAAAGACTTCATAATTTGTGCTCTAAATCTTATGAGATTTATAATGAGAAAACTGAAATCTCATTAGATTTGGTGTTTTCATAAGATTTTAATCATTCTTAAAGAAAATGATGATGATTGTGCACTGCTCAAAGTCACATTTTGTGAGATGGGCAGCAATATAAATATGATAAACAAACAAATGAACAAAATCTTAAATCATTTTAATATAATTTTGAGGTTCCCCAGATCATATCTGAGGGTACATGGAAGGTTATAGCTGATAGTTAATCCCTGTATTACAGTATATAACTGTGGTATGAAAATAAATCTTCAGATCACCTTATAACAACTTTGCAAATATGCCTTGCACACCATCAAACATTAGTATTAGTATGCAAACATCTGTTCTCCCTGCCCTGTCTTAACATCCTACCTAATCCTCCAGAAAGACCCCTAAAGGCTGCAGAATTTGTCTGAATATAAAATGCTCAGCTCAGCCCAGCTATTTTTATTGTTCAAGATCAATCTGTTGAGTTCCTATAGTATTTACTGCATTTAACCATGGACACACAGCCCATATGTCTTATTTTTAAACATAAAATAATAGACACAGTTTTACCTGTTCCAGATGATAGACAGCTGCTGAGATCCTTTGCACACGTTCGACAGTTTTCTCAGGGTCAGCAGGTTCATCAGTTTTCAAGACATCTTTGTAGAGATTCAACTGCCATTTCACAGCTGGGTCATCTGACTACATATCAACAAATTTAATCCGTTCTTATAAATATTTAATATTTAAAAGTACTGTATATAGGACACTTATTTAAATAAAGTTGATTTATCGCCATCTTTTGAACCACTGTACTGGAGCAAGAGGAAAAGGCTAAACCTCTGTGCTTATTACCAGAGGGAATTAATTGGGTCTCTAGGGAAAAAAAATGAGATATTTCTCAAGGATAGTGCAATGGCACTATTCCAAAAGCAAAGGCAGGAAGACACTCCAGGGCTGTATTGTGTTGTGCTATGATTATGCCATTTTATTATTCTGTAGACTGGATCAAGACCACCTTTTCTTTCCAGTCACTGCCTAGGGACCCTTAGTAAATGTCTATTCCCATCTGTGGCACTTGGGAGGAATTCTATCACCACACTATTTTGCATCATGCCAACTTTCAGGGCTTCTGGTAAACTCTTTAGCTAGCTACAAGTTTTGCTAGCTATAAGTGCTACACTCTCATTTCATTGGCATGACTGCCAGGGCTAGTGGAAGTTGGACCTCAACTTCTGGAAAGCCACATGTTGCTCATTCATGTTATTTCTATTTATGTTAATAAATAGAACTTAGTTATAGGATTACTCTGTTGAACGATGGAATACATCAACATGTTCTTTGACTTCAGAAATATATTTAGCTGACTGACATTTTGAATATTACCTTTTCCTGCAAATGTAAGTTATTGCGTAAATGTTCTTTAACTTCTTCTTCAGTGTCTTTCTGCAGAGAAATAAAGACATATTGATCTGTGTTCCCTTAAATATATTTTGATCAATTAACAAGGTAGCACAAATAATAAGACAGAACAAAAGCTGTTGGGATACAGGTACATATCCAAAATAAAAATAAAGAGAACAAAATTCGGTAGTAGGAAGCCTCCTGTGCTCACCTGTGGGCCCCTGTGTAGTTTAGGTTCCAGCGTGATTGCAGTTCTAAGGCCATATAAATAAAGTGGGCTTTCTTCTATAGAGCTCGCTCTTCAGCACACAGAACAGACTAGAGCTGGAGTGGAGGCAGAACCCTAGAATCCTTACGCACATCAAATCCGCTGAGCCACATAACACCACATGACTCTTTCTGTGCTTTACTATTTATGCAGATACTGTGTGCTTGTTTTGTTCTAAAATGTTTTAAAATATTTGTGAGATAATCTGAGTGCAAGTTAGGAGGATACTCCTCCTCACCAGAGAGGATAGATAGATAGATAGATAGATAGATAGATAGATAGATAGATAGATAGATAGATAGATAGGCAGGCAGGCAGGCAGGCAGGCAGGCAGGCGGCAGGCAGGCAGGCAGGCAGGCAGGCAGACAGACAGACAGACAGACAGACAGAGATTTTGGGATATACTCAATGGACACTACAGCATCAAATCAAACCTTCCCTCCCTCCCTTTCTTCCTTCTTTCCTTCGATTTGAAATGTACTCTTTATTAAATTTGTTTGATCATTTCCAGGTTTTGTATTTTTCTAGAGGTTTGTGGTATTCAGATCTGAAGAGTGCAAAAATGCTTCAAACCCATCATGAGTACCTTTGTTATACATGCTGGCAGCTCCTTAAAGAAGTCATGCATTTTCTTGAATTCACATGTAAGGTATGCAGGTTCAGGAAAACACTTAGTTTTAAGTTTTAAGGAACTATTATGGAGTTGGCAACGTGATGGCAACAGTTGAATTGAAACAAGTATTCTCCTGAGCAGGAAAAGTTGTAGTGCCTTTAAAGAGCTGTCAACAAGCACACTTAGATCTGAATTACCTTTGTCCACTTCAGATTCAAATACTGCATGTCTTTGAAACCTTTCAGATTAGAATCAATAAGAGTAAAATATTGACTTACACAGCTATATCTGGACTTAGCAAGAGAAATCAGCTCTTGATCTCCAGGGGTACACATATTCAGCCCAATGGGGAGCATTTTTTTAAGTGCAGCTACAATCAGAGAAGTCTGTATTGAATATAAGTCTCCTCTGTGTTTTGCTTTTTTTCGTTCTTGATCATGACCTCCAGACTGCAAGGGAAGAGACATATAAAATGCACAGGGTGGTTATTTCTTTCATACTAAAATAATTACTTTTCCTAATTATGCAATCATATTAAAATCTTTAAAACCTTTGAATATTTAGCCTTTTGAATGGTAAAACTGAAGTGAACCAAAAGACTATCTTGAAAATACGTAAGTAATTTTAGTGGCATTTTACAACAAAATCATTTAGAATTAGTCATTTTCAAGAATTCAAATATCATTGTAATTTTCAAGGAAAGAAATGTCTCTGTAATTTTTGAGTATGTACATATCAATAAAAACACACACACATGCACACACACACACACACAAATAACATTTAAAATTGATAAAGAGTGATATCATTTATAATTCTGAGGGTTCCAGTGCTTGAGATATATGCCTGTATAAAGTCTAATAAATGCAAAGTGTGAGTTCCAGAAAATCATACAATTGTGAGCAAGTGTGCTAGAAAACTACTTTGCTATAGAAGTTATCTGTCTACATTGTCAGCAACTTTAACCACATGAAGCATAAGGAGAATGAGCCTTTGGAAAAAGACAGTAAATAGGCTGTACATCAGCATTACATGTAACCTGTTCTTCATGATGCAGGCAATGTACAGTTTCATTAGAAGAAAAACTTTTTAAATTAAGGCAGCAAATCAAAGCTCTGGGCAACAGCATTGCAGCTTATCACTAACAAAATGATATTAAAGACAGATTTAGACTAAACAGCCACAAGAAAACACCATATTTTCTGAATTTCATGCATAAAAAAGATGATTAATGACCACAGTGAGAATTGAGCGATAGGCATGAATTCAGGACTGGACTCACAGAATATGTCCACCACAAATAACAAGTCCTTTCTATTAATTCTCCATGTCTTCTCCTTCTGCAAAGGAGTTCAGAGGCTCAGAGCCTTACATTGTACTCTACACTGATATAGGAAAAGTTATTAATAGTGATTAAATTTGTTAATATTACCACATAATTTCTATTAAAACAGAAACAAAATCTAAAAGCAGTCACACATTTAGTAAATGGTTGATAAGCTTTCCTTTTAATGGACAGTGTCAAAACATCTAGCCAACCCTACATGTTCAGTGGGAACCAAGTTATGATGTCATGGCTTTCCTCAAGGACTCACAATTGCTATACTTTGCCTCAAAGCTTTGTTTGTGGAATGCCTTCAAAAAAGTTTTCTTTTATACTAGCAGTGAATTAATGACTCTATATTTAATGACATTAATTGCTACTTGACTTTCATAGCAGACAAACAAATGCCACAATATATCACAGAACCCAGTGGCGTCACTATTCTCTTAGACAGGGGAGGTATCTGACACAACTGGTTAATTTTTTCTTTCTTTTTTCTCCAATAAAGGATTTTTTCAGTTTGTGTGAGCATGAAAATATCTATCTATCTATCTATCTATCTATCTATCTATCTATCTATCTATCTATCTATCTATCTATTCTGTCTCTGCCACCAAGTTTCAGTCCTCCTAAACTGCAGTTTTGGGAAACCTTTACTGACAATTATGAAAACCGCCATACATAATAATGAAGGCTTCCTTAATAATATCTATTCATCTTTGTTATATGCTGATTGACAGCTATCGAGGGGCTTAGTTTTTACTTCTTCTATTCATTACTCCATAAATGAATTAGGCATGTACATATTTTGCTTTTTATAAGTGCAGGAGAAAAAGTGGGAATGGAAGACTGAATCTTCGACATTCCAAGTCTTCCCATCCATCACTGAGGCAGTATTCTGTTCACCTGAAATGATTATGGCCTTCAGGTTCTGACAAGAAGATGAAGAATAATTGGTTCCTTTCAAAATGAAAGTTGAATTTCTTCCTTTCATTCCTGAGCTTAAATCTTAATTTTGGGAGTAGGGGGGAATTAGTAAATGAAATATCAGAAACATGTCACTGTATCCTGTACAAATAGCTCACTGCTTCAAGCTGGACTCACAGTATCAGGTTTGATTCTACTGCCAAATGTTGAGAAATTGACTATTGCACTGATTATTTTGCACTTAAATTCTGGAAAGCTACAAAATAGCAGCATAAACTAAGTCATAAAATATTTGGTATGATGGCTGATTTGGAGAAAGTGCCCAATAAAGGGAATAGGCTTGAATGATGAAATGTTCTGTGAAAATCTGGAGTTGAAGTTGGTATCTGAATTCAGTATGAGTGATATACAATGGAAGTAAAGTATACATGAATATAAATAGAATACTTAGCAAATGGTTCAGTACTAAACAGTAAGACAAGAATGTGTGATGTCCCTGTGGTTATTTAAGGTGTTTATGGATAAATGTATAAGGAATGTGTGGGGTGACATTAGAGGTGTGCTGATTAGGAATGTGTGTGTGTGCTATAAGGAGATGATGTCATGCTGTTTGCCAAGTACCTAAATTATTTGCAACAAGTGTTAGCTAGATTGTAAACAAAAGCAGATTTTGTCAGGAAAAATGGTGTGAAGGATTACACATGAAACATAAATGGCAGAAACCTAGAGAATGGTTAGATGATAACATTCCTAAGAAGAGAAAGGTGAGTAGTTTAAAGAAGAAAAGGTTGTAAAGTTGGAAGGAAACTAATATAGTGAATGATGTTAATCTAACTGGATTTAGGTACATTTCTTTTCCTTTCATGTCTTGCCTTTGATTTCTTTTTATTACTACTTCTCATTTTTTTTCCTGCACTTTCTATAATGTTGCTTACCACAAATAGGAATATTGAGATGAATATTTATATGTTGGTGTAGGTGTACTGAATCTATCTACACCTACTCATCAAGTTCTGAAGGCAAGTTATAATATATTTAAGGTACTTTAAGATACATAAAGAATATTGGGAAGACACTTTTTAAAATTCAAATCCTATCTCTTGCCTCCACTTCAATAACAGGTTTCAGAATAATAAACACCAGCTTGTAGATGGCTGCTGGAGCTCTCAGGGTTTTGTTTTTGTTTTTCCCAGATTGGGTGAAGCTTTCTCACGTGGGTTGGTGTTGCTATTGTTGTTGCTGAGGTCTCTCAGTTACTAGTTCCTTGTGGCATGTGCAAGAGGCCCCAAGACACAAATGTGCTTATAGGAATTGATATGGATTATTTCAATAAGCTGGGTCAGCTCATGGATATCAGTGGGCCCACCTTGATGCCTACTGATGCAGACTCCCTGGCCCACCAGTCTGGCAATAAAATAATTTATTTTATTGTTTTTTTAAAAAAAGATAGGAATATAACATGATGCAAAGCAAGACGTCTAAATATAATCTGTATTTTCACAAGGCTAGCTGGCAACTTTACATACAGATTAAGGCTACTACCTTCTTCCACTGAAAAGCAGGGAAGAGTGAGAGATTTAGGAGTTTTGGTGTCCCAGGCATGCATTGGCTGGAGATCCTCCTAGAAGCAAGGACAAGTTTTCCCTGATTGGGCTTGAACTCATGCCCTCGTCCTAAAAGCTCTTAGAAAATTGGAAACAGTAAAATAAAGTTTTCAGGGAAAGCATAGGAAGATATATCAGGGATACCTTATTTATTTTCAGTGCTGCTTTTGCTCAGTTGCATTGTTTTATTTTTGCTCCCATTCTATGTCCTTCTTTCCCTTTGTTTCCTCAGCTTGTTTACAAATTAATGATTAATATACTTAGTATACAGATCTCAGCCTCATGTAAATTGATGCAGCTAACTCCTTTTTTCAGGTCCTTAGTTTGTTTCTTTTATTGAATTAAAATCTTTGCAACTCCAGTGCTGGGTTTTGAAATAGCACCACATGCTCCAAAATCACTTTCAGCCTGGTCATTCTGGTTAAAAGAGAAAAGTGGAGACATTTATTTAAAAGCTAAGTTCTAGAGAAGGGGAATCTCCTATTTAGCCCTACCCAGAATTTCTGGTGGGAGCTGTACCACCCAATTCAAGATTTGGTTGTGGCAGCATAACTTCTCCTTGGATGAGCTCCTCA